ATATATATATATATATATATATATATATATATATATATAGAATTATGGGGTGTGCAATAGACTTACCTCCACGTGGTGCACCCTGGGCAACTCATACGGCAAAAAAGTCTATTAACCGGCAGTTGACTTCTCACTTCAAACTACCATGGCCCGACTGCTTGCTATATTCGACCCCTTTCACAGTACACATCTTACCTTTTTCTCTACCTTTGTGTCTGTCTACCTCTTTTACATCTGTGAATCGCTCTTTTGTACCCCACCCCTCGACTTTCTTCTACTTTGATGAACCTTCCCTCTGTGAAGCCTAAAGTCAGCTAAATGGCTACTGATAGCTATCAAAACGCCTGTCATTTGAAATAAATAAATATATATATATATATAGAATTATACGCTTTTAAAACGGACTTACATTGGTAATTTGAACATGACGTGACTTCTCAAAATTCTGTCCACCGAGAAGATTAGTAAGAGGATTATTATTGGAGTCGGTAGTGCCTGCGTTGGCTCTTGATTCCTGAATTTCACGCAAATTCTCCTCTGTGAGATGCTCTGTTCTTCGAAGGGTTACAATCTGCACATTGGCTGCACTGCAAACCTGAAATGAATAATATATGTGCTGTAGGTTTGCAGTGGTTTTGCTAACTCACTCGATAACCCTAGAGATTACTTTTTACTGCATCCCTCATCTGTCCCAAAAATAATTTTTCCAATTATTTAACCCTATCAGGAATTGGCTTAATCTCATCCCCTTTACTGGCTCAGCCCTGACAAAACTGACCTAGACACCCAACCAATAAACATAACTGATTCTGACCAAACAGAATTAACTTTTGTGTAACTTTCCTCGACACTTGATAATTACTCTATTAAGAGGAGAGTTCAGTAAACTTAATAGTGGCTCATGGGTTCGACAGAGCTGTTTTAAAGGGAAAAAAGGCCCAATTTTAACTCACGTGGCATTCGTGCCCACTGATTGTCTCTTTTCTCTCCGATCCGAAACCCAGTATTCCACTCTTGCTCTTAGTGAACTCAATTTTGTCGGTATCGAGGAAGGTGACGAAGATGGGCTGGGTTAGTTTCTTGGCAATGAGATCCTCAGAGGGAGTATGAAGAAGGGAATCGACTCCAGCACCTGCGCCTCCTGCATCGGCAGCTCCCGAAGCAAGAAGTGATCCGATTGAGTGACGGTAGATGCTGCGATCACTGTGATTCACCTCATCCATCACCACACCCTGTTCTGCAAAGGGGGGGAACAGAGATCCCTATCTTATTTATTCGCATTAAAAAAAAGTTAATTGTCATATTCCCCGTATTTTGCCCACATCATATTGCCAACTATATGTCACTGCAATTATATCGGTTATGCCCACATACTTAGATGCCAGGGTATCAGCTTAGAAAATAATGGTTCACTCCATGTTACGCCTTTTCGAATTAGCTCAATTATACATTTTGAACACTACTACTGCAATTATAAGTGAACAACTGTGATGCCACTGCTGAAGGAGTAACGGTCATGCCAATCATTATTCTCCTCACAGAATAGACCAATCAACCGATTGGCAAGAGAGTTCTGACCATTGGTTAGACCATGGGCTATATCCATCTTCAAGTCCATTGGTGAGTCAGTGAATTGAGGTCATTGTGGCAATATGATCGCTTCGTTTTATCCGTACACGTACTGGTATGCTACGTGATTCCTTCTTCTATCTCGCACGCCAAGAGCATACGTCGCATTAATTAAGGCTAACCTATCACCCTAATCAACAATTTCACGTGGACACCTTAATTCAACCCAAGGCCCTTATTTAAACAAATGCAGAGAGGGAGAGAGAGAGAGAGAGAGAGAGAGAGAGAGGGAAGCGCAACACATCCTCGACGAAGAAGGATGACAAATAGTCAAGAAATAAAACACCTTGGGAAAATTTAGTTATCATAACATGAGATGTGCCCTTTGGAGTGTTTTTGCAAGTAAAAAGCCAATCTCCTTGGAGGAGAACCATGCTGGTTGTGCTTCAGTGGAATAGTTCACTTTACTCTAAAAAATTTTTCTACTTGGTGAGACGAATTTTCAGTGCTCCTTAGGTGAGAGGTCAACACCTCTGTGACGCCAATTTGTATGAGCAGTGTAGAAGGTCCTCACTGAGTGCAAGCCACGTGGAAGAAGCTGAAACATTTAATCCTCTGCGCCGATGAAGCCCAAATTCTGATGCAAGAGTGGTCAAAAACCTTTTCCGCGCGTAGATGACTCAAAAAGTGTTGCTAATTATAAAGTAAGCGTAATGTGTACAACACCTTTGGCTCAACAAGAGATAACTACTCCAACCTATTCTCCAAAATTTACTCCAAACACTTCGTGTAACCATTAGCAAGAAAGATGCCTCATGTCATTTTACCCACTTTGACAAGCTAATGGCAATTTCAGGGCAAAAATTGACACTTCACAAGGGCTAATAAGTCTAAATGTTCCTAAGCTAGGAGCGACTTAGTGGTATGCAACTAATGTCACATGGAGATAGAAGAATTTGACCAGTATTTATAAAAAGAGCTTCAAATACGAAAACAATAATAATAATATTTAACTCAGCTTACTTAAAGATTTTTGTGCATTAAAGTGTGCTGGCGTTACAACTTTAAACTGCTTGAATATCACGCGAGGCCGTTTTGTTCTACTCAACTACTAATTTGAAGTGGAAAGGTAATAAGCACTGAAAACTTGCCTCGGATCGAGAAATTTGGAATTTGGAGCGTGAACTGCTCCTTTCGTAAACATTATACAGCTCAAATCCACTAATTTCTTGAAATATACGGCTTCTTAATACCTTGAGGATGCTTCCAGCATCTTCTTGATCCCGCACACTTACTCACTCGCTTCTCACAACAAAATGTTGGCAATTTTTGCATTATTGCGTAACAGTAATGTTAGGGAACCAACATTATAAGCAGAATTCAATCTTACATTCCCAAAATTAAAAATGGTAACATTTTTGTTCATACCACGAGTAACGTTAATAATTCACTCTCATTAGATAAACCTCTACCATATCATCAGTATTCGGGAGAAAATCATCAAGGCTGACTTCTGCAGCTAGATTGGAGCCTAAGCCAATTACATCGTTTTAAAATGCATCCAGAAAGTAGATAATGCTTAAAATGAAGGCGATGCTGTTGATTGGTCGAATGACTGGCCCAGCAGTGGTCCGACGATTAATTAGCTCTCTTTATTCTCATCAAAAAATGCCAACTTTCCAAATTGAAAATATTGTAAAAAGGGCCCAGTGCAACCAAGTTTTTGATGGACTTTACAAGTTCTCTGATTCGCGCCTTTTTATTGCGTGTATGAGGGAAAAACAGGTAGTGTTGATGTTGAGATCACATGCCCAAAAGTCAATAATGACGATTAGTACCGGTGCAAAACAAACATGAGCCAAACCATTCTGATTGGCTTAGTAAAAAAATACCAATACAATACAGGAAAATGGTATTCAGACTCACAATTGAAGGACACGTGATAAGCTAACCTTGAGACACGGCAATTTGAGTAGGATTGTCGCCCCCCCCCACACCTGTCGTCAGGTGCGTTTCGCTGGTCTACGTAGTCAGTTACATTTATTACAATGTACTAAGAGGCGATCTATTTGCGAGGTATTCTCTCTGGACGGTCTTCTGGGAATTTTGTGTGAAGTATTCACTCTATTACAAAGATTTGAGTATAACCCCCCCCCTGACCATCCATTCAGGTCCTCTCCTTGCTCCACTTATTGCCTGCTCCACGAATAGCAGAATAAGTAGACAAAAACTACCAATGCCCAATCTGTGCCATTAAAAATAATCACTTTGATTGATTTAACCAGTAGCAAGTTCTAAAGCACACAGCGAGAAATCGTTCTAATAAAAGGGCTTAGTAATAATTTCGTGCCTAGACTTGGCTTGTTTCCCCATCTGGGTATAAGCAGAGCAAGGGACACTCTCCAGGTGCATTCTTCTCATTAACCAAATTCCATTTTCCAGGTACAGGTGTGTGCGATAGACTTACCTCCACGTGGGGCCCCTGGGAAACGTTTACTCATACGGCAAAAATGTCTATTAACCGGCAGTTGACTTCTGACTTCAAACTACCATCATCCCACTGTATGCCATAGTCAACTACTTCCATAGTACTCACTTCACCTTTTTTCTGCCTTTGTTTCAGTCTCTTCTACATCACTGAAACACTCTTCTATTCCCCCCCCCCTCCCTCTCGACTTTTTTCACTTTGATGTTCCTTCCCTCTGTGAAGCCCAAAGTCATCTAAAGGGCTAATGACAACTATCAAAACGCCTGCCATTTGATAAAAATAAATTTTCCAAGTACATAATGGCTAAGATCTTTACTGACGGAAGATCAGACTACAGATTTGGCCTTTGGCTATTTAAGCACAAAAATCGCAACTCAACGAAATAAATAAATGCAGAAATCAATTGCACTGGTTATCTATGTGGTCAACGTTAGTTTAGTTAACTTAAAGTCAAATGATCCCACTGGATTTCTAGAGTTTACAGATGTGCTCGGCTTGGCACCAATTTCACCTTAAAATCACATTTTGCTGTAGTACATGTACAATTCCAATTCTTATAGCTTTCACTGTGACGTCCAGCAGGCGAAAAATGAGTGTTAAAGTTCAAGTGGAAAAGTTCTGAGAAACCTTGACATAAAACTGCAAAGACAAAGATTAGACCGATGAGTTGGTCTTCACAGAGAAGATGAGATACTGACAGAAGGCCTATTGAAATTCTATTTACTAAAGTAGCTTCAAGAGGAAGCCAGAGGTGTTCGTCNCACTGATATGTAAGTGAGCAAAGTGAAACAAAGCCACACCCTCCTCCCCCTCCCTTCCCGCACCAGCAGATCAATTTCGGGCTCATCAAATGCGAAGAATAATTGCATTTAGTAGTTATTTCAAGCCAATTGAGAGTCAAGTTAAGCTTATGAGGCTCCAGGTATGGTGGGAGGAAATGATTTTTTTTCATTAAAAAAGCGTACTGTTTGGGTGGACTGTGAATTAATTAATAAGAGAGGTTTAGGGATGCCAAAAAAAGCATCCAAGTTAGTCTTACCATGCTTTTTCGACTTTTGCACAAAAAAAGGAACACAACCGAAATAAGGTCGATCAGAGGTAGCATCATTTTCATTGACCGATTAGTAGATCCACCGGTTAATAAATTAGTAATAACTAATGTGGCTGGCAAATCCAAGGTAAAAATGAAATTATTATTTTTTCAAATGACAGGGGTTTTGAATAGTTATCATTAGCCATTTAGCTGACTTCGGGCTTCACAGAGAGGACGAGGAACATCAAAGTGAGAAAAATTCGAGAGGGGGAGCAGAAGAGTGATTCACAGATGTAGAAGAGACAGACAAACCAAAGGTAGGGACAGGGGTGAGGTGAGTACTGTGAAAGTTGTGGAATACAACATACAGTGGGGTGATGGTAGTTTGAAGTCAGAAGTCAACTGCCGGTTTATAGACTTTTTTGCCGTATTAGTAAACAGTGCCCAGAGTGCACCACGTGGAGGTAAGTCTATCGCACACCCCGGTAAGAGTGAAATAGCAGGTAATTAAAGGCTGTACAACCCGAAAATCGTATTAAATAGGAATTATTAATACTCCGCCTTTTCTTTACATTTAATATCTTTTTCGATGTCCGAAACTTTCCTCTTTGACAGACCACGTTTAGCTAAAAATATGCAGCTTTACTTACTTACGCTGCCAATGATCGTCACGGTAGTAGTCTTAAGGATGCGCTCTATCGGGTGTTCAAAGATTGCTGGACTACCTCGTTTCTGAAATAAATTATTTGTATCAACAAAGCCCAAAAGGTGATCGAGATTTTTTTGTCAAAATTTATTTGTCACACGCGGGGTGCGCGATAGACTTATCTCCGCCGGGTGCACCCTGAACAACGTATACTCATACGGCAAAATAGTCTGTAAACCAGCAGTTGACTCCTGACTTCAAACTGCCATGACCCCACTGTATGTCATATTCGACTTCGTCCACAGTACTCACCTCACCTTTGTCTTTGAAACACTCTTCTGTTCCCCCCCCCTCTCTCGACTTTCACTTTGGTGTTCCTTCCCCTCTGTGAAGCCTGAAGTCAACTAAAGGACTAATGATAACCATCAAAACGCCTGCCATTTGAAATAAATAAATGTCACACGGATATTCCAACTTCAGTATTGTG